TATGCTGTATGATTGTTGCTACTGTTTGGCTGCTGGGGTAGTGGGTGATGTAACTTCTCATTATTGTTTGATTGTTGTACAACGAAATAATAATTGATCAACTATACCTGTTATGTGCAACATATAGTGAAACATCTGTTATGGAAATTGTGAGATCAAATGTATTAACATTGCTGACTGTAAGCTGTATTCTGAAAATGTCATGTCATGTGGTTTGACTGATTAGGTAAAATCCCTGGCGTGACCTTTGAATGTGTGTGAGTGATCAACAGATGTTTTTGCAAGGGGGTTTGAGGACACAACAGGAAGTTAGGATGATAATAATAATAAATTATATTTATATAGCGCCTTTCAAGGGACCCAAGGTCGCTGTACATGGTGGACAAACAAAACAAACAGACAATCAACGGGCAAACCAAATCAATAAATAAAGGAAGCCGGGGGACCAGAAAAGGGCTAGGGCCCAAAGGCCAGGGTGAACAGGTGTGTTTTTAGTGATGATTTGAAGATGTCCAGGGAGGCAGCATTACGGATCTCGGCAGGAAGTGCATTCCAGAGGGGGGGGGGGGGCACAACACTGAATGCCCTGTCACCAACAGTTCGGAGGCGAGAGCGGGGGATGGAGAGCAGGCCCGTGTCTGAGGACCGCGGACTCCGAGAAGGGGTGTAGGGATGGAGGAGGTCCGATAAGTACTGGGGGGCGAGGGTATGGAGGGACTTGTACGTGAGGATGAGTGTTTTGTATTGAATCCGGGACTTGACCGGCAGCCAATGTAGGTGGATGAGGGTGGGGGTGATATGGTGCCATGGCTTGGTGTGGGTGAGAAGCCTGGCGGCAGAGTTCTGGACATATTGGAGCCTATCCAGGGTTTGGCTGGGAACCCCGGACAGGACTCCATTGCAATAGTCCAGACGGGATGTAATGAAGGCGTGTACCAGGGTTTCTGCCAGAGTCAGAGAGAGAAGGCCGGATTCTGGCAATGTTTTTTAGGTGGTAGAAGGCGGATTTGGTGACAGCTTTGACATGCGCCTGGAAAGAGAGGGTGGTGTCCAGGATGACTCCCAGGTTGCGGACTTCAATGGAGAGAAGCAGGTCTCCAACCTTCTGGAGCTGCGTCTTGGGAGCCACAATCATGAGCTCTGTTTTATTGCTGTTGATTTTGAGCAGGTTTGATGACATCCAGTTTTGTATGTCCTGTAGGCAGTTGACAAGGGATTGAGGGGGAGCTGAGTGGACGGTTTGGTGGAGAGATAGAGCTGTGTGTCATCAGCATAAGAGTGAAAGCTGAGACCATGTTGGCGGATGATTTGACCAAGTGGGAGCATGTAGATAAGGTGTCATCTGTTTCCCTGCTGCTCTGTGTAGGGTGTGAGTTTTGCATACGGTGCAAGGGGGTCTCAGCTGACCTAATCAAATGTTGTAATGTAACTAAGCTTTGATAAGAGAGACTGTTTCACTCAGAACAGGACGTGCTCTTCTAAGAGACGTCATACTTGCACACACACACACACACACTGTAAAGAGAGGGGACGGACCAGACGAAATCAACACCAGCTGACTCACTGCTTGGGGTCTCCTAGGAGTAGGGTTGGGTATCGTTTGAATTTCCACGATTCTGATTCTACTTTTCGATTCCGGTTCTCGATTCAGATTCTTTGAGGGGCAGGGTAAAAAAATGATACATGCTTCTTCCACCAAAAAAAATACATTTATTCGAGATACTTTTACACAGGTTAGTTTACAGTAATATTCACATTAATCAGTCTGTTTATATTCACTGCTATGTACCTGTAACCTGAGAACCACTGAAGCTACAACAATGCAACAGTCCAACATTTAAAAACAGTTCTTGTTGAGAAAAACAAGCATATCTGCCTTCTCAGGCATACCGGGAAGAAATGTTTGAACATTTTAAAGTAAAATGCTTCAATCTGGTGCTGTTATGAATGTTGTTACATCAAGGCCGAAAATTAGGATGAGCACCAACGGCCAAATATTTGTTTTCCCTCCCAGAGCTGTCAGCGCAGCGCCTCCACAGATCTGGCGCACTAGGCGAACATCATCGCCAGTGCAACGGGCCGGTGTAGGTACCATATCTGCTCGGGGTACCATATCTGCTCGGATATGGTACCTACACCGGCCCTGGTCCCAGGTTACGCTGTAGGAAGTGTAGGTACAACGCTACATTTCCCGCCCCGCCGCGTAGGCTACGGAGAGCGGCGAGAAACATTTCCTCAGGCATCGAAAAGCGGAACCGAAATTCACATTTCTAAATGATTCCGTTGGAATCGAAATGTACCCAACCCTACCTAGGAGTGAACAACGAATGAGAAGATATGAAGGGAGGAGCAACCAACACAACTCCTTCCCGCTTATGTGTATAAATACTGTAACATTTCAATACTGGACACTCTTGTTCTGACTGGCTGTAGTGATACGTATATCGCACGGTGGTAGAACTTGAGTCCGGGTACTCTGTATTTTGTACGGGGTACTCTGTATTTTGTACGTATTTCTGTACTGTTGCCTTTTACCAGTAAACTCAGCTTATTGCTGATCTCATATCTCGGTGTCTGAGTCCTTCTTATAGCAGACCACTCATCAAGGGACGGCGCGGAGCAGAGGTGAACCTTCCACCACCGCCATTGGGTGGTGCTCCAACAATCACGCCTTTTGACTTTTGTTCCTTTATTAAGCTTATAATACTATTTTGAAATAAGCCTTTGTGCAGAATGAGTACTTTTTAGTTGCCAAGACATTTGCTTGAGTACAATTTTAAATTCAGGACTTTTACTTGAAATGGAGTATTTTAAGACCATAGTATTTCTACTTTTAAGGATCAATGAAATGTGTCAATATGAAATGTTAATTTATTCTATGTTGTTATGCGGTGTATTGGTTATGTGCTCTCATTTTAGTGAATGTGTTATTATATATGGAAGCGGATAAGGACCGCATGTCAATTCAGACTTTTCAGAAACAAGTCAGAATTTTTTAATTAAAGTCAGAATTCTGAGATTTACACAAAATCAACTAATAAATCTCAACAATGTATTTCATGTGAAGGATGTCAGAGGGAGGATGGAGTCAGTGTCCTCGACAGAAACATGTTACACTGATTACATGTGAACATGCACACACACAAGTTGTGTCACCATTCTGTCAGATATAGTGTCATCTGTGAGTGATTGAGTGTGTGTGTGTTTGAGAGAGTGTGTGTGTGTAGCACTGCACACATAACTGACCTTCGAGGCTCAGACAGATATATCTCTCCCTCTCTGTGTACGTGTGTGTGTGTGTGTGTGTGTGTGTGTGTGTTGACAACACGGCGTTATACAAGGTTTGATCTGCGCTCGGATGCGTTCCCTGCAGGAATTCAGATCCCGAGAAAAACCAGTAACTGAAGCTAAACTGAAATATAAATCACATTATTTATAGGAGAATTCTGTCAAAAGTAATACATTATCAAAATATTCACCTTCATCTTAGCCATCCATTACCTCAGATAGAAAACTGATCTGCATGTTACCACTTTGTCCTTTTCTTTTTAAATGTACTAACATTAAATAAGCTTTAAGCTACATATATTTTCCTGAACATAACGATTTATAAAATGTGGAAATACTCGATGAAATGGGATTATACAGTCGGACAAAAGAGTATGTATCCTTTGGCATTTTTATTTACATACATTTATAATACTTAAAGGTGGACTCCCCCTCTGTGTTTGCAATATTTCATAATCAACCTTCTATCCACAGGGTTATGTGATGCCTTCAAACGCTTGTTTCCTATTCTTTAAATCTAAATTTTGACATGCAAAAATAATTTATTATCTAACACTTCCTCCTCCGTTTTAACCTCTGAATGTCCATTTAATATAATTAATGGGTATAACAAAAGTGTTGTTTATATCTTCCTTTAGTATATTTACATTTGTTATATTATTCTACAAATCAACCTAATTTTTATTAGAACATTCTGGTGCATTGCTACAATTAATTATTTTTAATTTCATGTAAAAAAGGACATTTTATTGCATCTTGCACATTTTGCGCGGTCAATCTACAATAAATTAATTGGTGAGAACAGGAATGTCTTTAAGATTTCATAGGGAACTTCCTTTCTGTTTCTGTGGTGGAGGATATTAAACTGTGGTCTGTCTGTGTGTGTGTCTGTGTCTGTGTCTGTGTGTGTGTGTGTGTGTGTGTGTGGGGGGGTGTGTGTGTGTCACATGCAGATGAAGCAACTTCTCCTTTTAGCAGCGGAGTGCTGGGTGATCTCCTAACCCCGGACAAACACAGGTCACATTACCACAGAGTGTGTGTGTGTGTGTGTGTGTGTGTGTGTGTGTGTGTGTGTGTGTGTGTGTGTGTGTGTGTGTTGAGTCCACATTGTGAATGATGAATGAGACAAAGATAGTGTGTGTTATGTTTTGCCCTCTGAATATCTCCAGTGTTTATTTTGGAGCAGCTGCCCCCCACTGGTGAGTTGAAGGAACAGCAGCGTCTCACCGCTTTTTCCCTGAAATTAATTAGTAAATTAATGTTTTATGTTGTCGTACAATGTACACGGTTAAATATTTGTATTCTTTTGTATTATGTATTTAGACATTTCATTTAAACTTCACGTGCAGATAGAAATATTATTTGCATTTGATCTTTTATTGAACATTGTATTTTAACCTCCTTTGTAGCAAAAAAAAAAGATTCGAATTGTTTTTAAATATATATTTCTTTGCCCATTTTTACTTTTTATAATTGTTTTATTCCATTTAAATCTTTTATAAAATGGAGCAAGGAAACCCAGTTGCCCCCGGGATAAATTAAGTATTCAGATTCTAAGTGATGAAATCGACGCAATGGGAGTTGTATGAATGAACCAGAACAGTGAAGTTGTGAGTCGGACAAATAAATAATTCCTTATGAAGCTCGATAAATAATAAATTGTGTGTGTGTGTGTGTGTGTGTGTGTGTGTGTGTGTGTGTGTGTGAGTCACCTCTTGTAGCAGCTCGTTCTCCTCCATGTATTTCTTGGCGGCGTTGCTGGCGCCCTCCGCCTGCTTCTTGAAGGCTTCGTTGGAGGCCATGAAGGTGGCCTGCTGGGAGAGCAGCGTGGCCAGGCGACGCAGCAACCTGCACACACACACACACACACGTGGTCAAAAAAGACTGAACGCGTAACCTTCAATGTCAAAGTCTGAAATCAAACCTATAAATATTATGGGATCCAATGTATAGGTTTGTGTAACTCTTCCAGTGCTTGAATACAACACTTGGTTAACTGGCATGAAATAGTGAGAACAACATAACACCACCTGAGCTCCAAAACAACCTGCTGTTTGACGTACGTGTGTGTGTGTGTGTGTGTGTGTGTGTGTGTGTGTGTCTTAAAGTATACTAGGCCATCCATAATGTAAAGCCTAATATAGCCATTGAGAACTTCACACACACACGCATAAATACATACAGTAATGACTAACACACATTGAGTTTCCCCTGACAAACCCAGCTGAGTGTGTGTGTGTGTGTGTGTGTGTGTGTGTGTGTGTCATGGTGACGCAAAACAGGGGGGGAACCTATCGAAGACACCCTCCCCCAAATTCCTGTACATCTCTACAGACAGTGATTGAAAGGAGCAGTCTGCTTGTGGAAGCAAAATATTTAGGTTGTGTTTATTATTGGTATTATTTTTAGTTTGGACTGCACATGTATTTGGTTATCATAACATCAAGCAATAGTGGCCTGGGTATCACTGTAATACGTTGGTTTCACTTTGAGAGTATTACTTTTGTTTTTCTGTCGAGTTTCAGCTCCTACTTTAGTGATCATTTGTATTCATTTCTTTATTTAACATCATGAAACATATGAAGCTCAGCATGGACTCTTTTTGAACGGGACCCAGCTAAGATTCTCATTTAGCCTCAGTGCGACTTGAACATGGATTTTAATAATATGTTTCTAAGATAATTTATTACGACGCAGACTGCTGAGTGAAGTTGTTGTGAGATGGTCAGGTAGAAATCCAGACTATAATCCAACAAAGATACATGTTTTTAAAAGTTCTTATGTAACACAACAAAAAAGCCATTCACAGCCGTTTTGATCGTTGAAAAGGAAAAAGGTGAATTTGTTGGGGGTTATTTTTAGCGGCAGGTTAATCCACATTTGGTGCTCTAGTGAGTATTTGGGGCAGCAGGACAGTGAACGGGGGGGGGGGGGGGGGTTTAGAATAACGGTGTGGATCTTTGATGTGTATTTTATATACCACTCCTTGCACACTTAAAGGTGGGGTATGTAATTCATTTCAGAAACACTTGTTATATTCCATGGAATGCTCTCAACATCCCGATAGCGATGAATATATTAAATGCTTTGACAATAAATCCATACAAAAATTTCATCTGTGGAAGCCGTGGCGCTGTAAAAAGCTCGACCAATCATATGAGCCGGCCCGGCTAAAGTAACTGGATGGCCTACCTGCCTGTCAGCCTTCCATCTGGGCACAAACTTATCTCTTGCCCTCATTGGTCATGTGCGCGTTCGTGTGTGTTGGAGGAGGGGCTCTGTAAGGAAGTCTGAAGGAAGGGGCAGATTTTTTCCGGTTGTGTATTTTCAAATTCTAGCGCACTCGAGCTGGTTTCTCCATTCTTACCTACCCCACCTTTAATGTTCAAAATATCCAACTTTTTAAATTGTGTTTTTTGCCCTTCATAAGGTTTATTTGCCAGAGTCTACATATTTGTATCTTTTGACAATGAACTTGTAAATATTTAACTTTATAATTCTGTTTTAATTTCTTTTTTGAGATATTTATATTTTGTTTATTTTTCAAATGACGTGCAATGCCTTGTTTGAACATGCTGCTGTAACGTAATATGTTTAACATCAATAAGGTATATCTTATCTTAATTAGAAAGACAACAGAGGCGCTCTACAGCACAGCAGAGACGATAAATCACGCTGGAAGTTATATCAGAGTCTGAACTGGGAATTAAAACATTTGGTACATCAACAAATCAGTTTCTTTCTGATTCGTCTGCAGAAGAAGATCCTCTCAGAGTTCTGAAAATAATCTCATCAGCTGGCGGCGCTTCAGCCTTTCCAGAAACGTATGCTCCAGATATATAGGTTTATTTTCTCTGAGTCACAGCAGACGGTCAGTGAGCGGCTCGGTCTAAACGCTGGAGTCTGTGTTTCAGCAGCTGCTGCATCACATGCTGCGATTCACCAGCAGCTGCAGGGGGGGGGGGGGGGGTACTCAAGTACTGTACTTAAAGGTCACCTATTATGCAAAATCCTCTTCTTCATGTCTCCTCTCTCACCGCTCCGTGAGCGCCCCCTAGTGGTCCGTGAGTATATTGGTAAAAAATGTCACATTTGAAATTAATTAATTTAAGTTTTCCGCACTCTCGCGGGAATATCTCCGCAATGGAGCGAGCTTAAGTTTCACTTTCAATTGCATGATATAACCCAGATAAACACCTTCATCAGACATGTGGCCACTTGTTTGTACCATTTTCAGGCTATTTGTAAAAAACGATGTGTTTTTGGATATTTGTGGAGTAAAGTGGTCCGCGAGTGTTTTTTTATTTATAAGTGGTCCTTGGTATGAAAAAGTTTGAGAAACACTGCTCTACATCAACATGTGTCCCCTCTTCTTCGTGTCTCTTCTACATCAACATGTGTCCCCTCTTCTTCGTGTCTCTTCTACATCAACATGTGTCCCCTCTTCTTCATGTCTCTTCCACATCAACATGTGTCCCCTCTTCTTCATGTCTCTTCTACATCAACATGTGTCCCCTCTTCTTCATGTCTCTTCTACATCAACATGTGTCCCCTCTTCTTCATGTCCCTTCTACATCAACATGTGTCCCCTCTTCTTCGTGTCTCTTCTACATCAACATGTGTCCCCTCTTCTTCGTGTCTCTCTACATCAACATGTGTCCCCTCTTCTTCGTGTCTCTTCTACATCAACATGTGTCCCCTCTTCTTCGTGTCTCTTCTACATCAACATGTGTCCCCTCTTCTTCGTGTCTCTTCTACATCAACATGTGTCCCCTCTCTATCGTGTCTCTTCTACATCAACATGTGTCCCCTCTTCTTCATGTCTCTTCTACATCAACATGTGTCCCCTCTTCTTCATGTCTCTTCTACATCAACATGTGTCCCCTCTTCTTCGTGTCCCTTCTACATCAACATGTGTCCCCTCTTCTTCGTGTCTCTTCTACATCAACATGTGTCCCCTCTTCTTCGTGTCTCTTCTACATCAACATGTGTCCCCTCTTCTTCGGTGTCTCTTCTACATCAACATGTGTCCCCTCTTCTTCGTGTCTCTTCTACATCAACATGTGTCCCCTCTTCTTCGTGTCTCTTCTACATCAACATGTGTCCCCTCTTCTTCGTGTCTCTTCTACATCAACATGTGTCCCCTCTTCTTCGATGTCTCTTCTACATCAACATGTGTCCCCTATTCTTCGTGTCTCTTCTACATCAACATGTGTCCCCCTCTTCATGTCTCTCTAATCAACATGTGTCCCCTCTTCCTACATGTCTCTTCTACATCAACCTGTGTCCCCCTCTTCTTCATGTCTCTTCCACATCAACATGTGTCCCCTCTTCTTCATGTCTTTCTCCATCAACATGTGTCCCCCTCTTCTTCAGTCTCTTCTACATCAACATGGTCCCCTCTTCTTCATGTCTCTTCTACATCAACATGTGTCCCCTCTTCTTCATGTCTCTTCTACATCAACATGTGTCCCCTCTTCTTCATGTCTCTTCTACATCAACATGTGTCCCCTCTTCTTCATGTCTCTTCTACATCAATGTGTCCCCCTCTTCTTCATGTCTCTTCTACATCAACATGTGTCCCCTCTTCTTCATGTCTCTTCTACATCAACATGTGTCCCCTCTGTGGAAAGAGACTCTGAAAGTTTCAGGAACAAAGATTCTCTCTCTTTTTGATCCATTTCTATAAAAACCTGTCTGAAAATGAGCTGATCAGATTTTGGCCACTTTATGATGTCATAACGATGTGTTAGCCAATCAGCAACCAAGGTAACCCCCCCCCCCCCCCCCACCTTATCAACTGAATCTCCTCCTAGAGCACCATTGAGTTCTTTGTAACCAAATGTCTCTCAGAGGGGCGTGGGGAGGGCTCCTTATTTTCATCTAAAGTAACAGACAGAGAATCAGCACTTTGGAAACAGGGCTGAAACAGAGGGGATTATGGGTAATGCTGCAATGATCTGTTTGGTGTTTCAGCCAATCAGAGACAGGTTCTGGATATATCTGAGACCTGTGATATATTGATGAAGAACAGTATAATAGGGGACCGTTAAGTAAAGCTCATTACATCTCCCACTTTGCCTGTTTTTAAATCTTGTTTAAAGACCCACTGTTACAGCCGCTGCTACCTTGTGCCTTTAACTGTGTGTATGCAAATGAGCTGTGCCTTCCGATGCTGTGAGTGGCCGTCCCGACCTCGCAACATTCGCGGGGATTGGACAGACGTCACTCAAGCCCTGCCCGCTGCTGCCACGTCATCCGGGGGAGGAGGATAAAGGCTGGGCACGAACATCCGTCTGGAGGCCCTGTATTTTGTGACAGATGCCTCAACCCTCTACTTGTGACAAAGCCCTCATCCTGTGATTCTGTTAGACTGCGTAGCGGTGTATTTTCTGTGCCTCGTTAGACTGCTTAGCAGTATATTCTGTAGGGTTCTGTGCGATCTCACTGGTTAGCAGTGTGTCGTGGTATTCTGTGTTTAGAGTAGGGTGTGTGTTGCGTAGACCCAGGTTAGCTTAGCTCCTGTAGACCCGCATTTAGATTAGTGACATTGTGAAGCAGCTTAGACCCAGGTTAGCTTAGCTCCTGTAGACCCGCATTTAGATTAGTGACATTGTGAAGCAGCTTAGACCCAGGTTAGCTTAGCGCCTGTAGATCAGAATTTGTGTATATTGCTTAGACCCCGGTGATTAGCACCAGTTGATCAGCAACAGCTGTGTTTCCACACAGTCTCCTTTTGTTTAGTGTTTTGTTCCACTTTAGAAGTGAGGTACGTTCATTCTTTTGTAGCCTACTGCGCAACTCTCTTTTGGAGTCCTGTGTTAACCCGTAACAGTTTGGGCCGTTGTTGGTCCAGGCTGTTCGTGTGTTTATCCTTGTTTTGTTCAGTTGCCGTCATAAATAAACCCACCGGTAACCAATACCAATTACAAACTGGTCGTGTCGTTTCCCTTTTTACCCCTAGCAAAGAGGGAACGTAACACCCACTTATTCTCCCGTGCGTTTGCAGCCCACGTATAAGACTTGTGCTTTTCAATTGGGGTTTTATTTGGTTTGAACGTCATGTATGAGAGTTTTAAGTTTGTGGCATTTATTGCCTCGTGTTTTACATTGGTTTAATCTTGTCTGATTTTTTTATTTGTTTTATGTCTCGTCTGATTTTTATATATATTTACTGATTGGTAGAAAGTTGGATTGGACATCTCCAAATAGCACTTGAGTATTTCAATTTATTGCCACTTTATACTCCATGACATTTGAGAGGCAGACTTTGCCTCCACTTTATTTATTTAACACAGTTATTTTTTAACATTACAAATAAAATATACTGATATGATGCAATCAGGGTCGGGATGGGCGATATGTAGATGAGACTATTACCTCAAAATCCATACCGTGATGATCTTATGATTGCATTGTTTATTGTATTGATTGCCATAACATATGTGACCTGCTCCATCGAAATCAGTCGTATTGACCCAAAGACACATTTTGAGTTGTATACACTGCTGGAAAGAGGAGATTCCTAGCTTTCTAATGATATCAGGATTGTTTTTGTTCTCCAAATATTAAGCGAAATATGTCACATTATATAACGACTGTCACCGAGTCATCAATTTGAGAAAAGGCCTTCAAAGTTTTCTCTTCTCTGGAATCCATCGATCTGATTGGTTATTAGCAAATGATCAAAGTAGTACGGAGGGAAGATATTTTCATTTGGATTACTGGTCTGGGGGAAGCTCGCGAGTGTGTGTGTGTGTGTGTATATATATATTTTTGCGTTTGTGTGTATTATGTTTGTTTCCCGGGGAAACCCCTCACGAGAAACACCGGCTGTTGTTACGCCTGCTGTGACGTCAAGTTACTCCGTTCTCCGCTTGTAATTATGCCGAAGCTTCAAAGTTGTATTTATCATCTGAATTTGCCGAAACAAGTTTAATATTCTGAAAGCCAACACTTTGTTTAATTGAAATCAGATGAAAACAAACTCTAAGGGACCCTGCCGTGTTATCTATGATTACTCTACGCTTACATTCATAATGTCAGCCGGAGGAAGGGGGCGGCGCTGCGGAAGAGCAGGGTGCGAGTGAGAGCTGTCATCATCCCTTTACAAGCTTCAAAATGTATTTATCGTGTGATTTTGGAAATAGAAGTTTCATATTCTGAAAGCCAAGACTTTGTTTATTTAAAATCAAACAAAAAACCCGAAAAACTATTTTTTTACGTAAATCCACGTTTATTTTGAAATGAGCTGTTCCGACTTCCGACTGATTTCGATAGAGCGGGTCACACACATGCTAGAATTCTCCTTGTTGTTTAAAGCAGTAACCTAAGAGTCCTATAAGCACTAATGGCATTTTATTAACCACCATTTATTCTCACTGAAGAATACACTCGATGATGTGGTCGATATTTAATTATCCCTTCACTTGTATAACCTGCAGTTAAAAAGTGTTCTCATTTGATCACCACTAACATCCCCTCAGCCTGACAACCAGCTGCCCTCCAATCACGAAAACTCATGTCACAACTCTGAGAAGGGTTAGCCAATCAGGGACCATGACAGATTTACACCTCAGAGGCTCGTCCAATCAGAGTCAGGCGGCAGGATTTACACTGTACAGTGAGCGTTTCTCAATGGAAACACACACAGCTGCACATTCTTTCCATCCTACTGTAACCATCCTCGACATTTAGACCTGTGTGTGTGTGTGTGTGTGTGCGTCTGTGTGTGCGTCTCACAGGCAGAGCAGCAGGGCGAAGCCGGCGATGTACTCGTTCCTCTGCGCTCTGAACAGTTTCATGTGGATGTGTTCGATGGCCGTGGGATTGTTGGTCAGATCCACCTTCTCCGGCACGCTGTACTTCCTCACCTCGCGGAAAGCATCTGCACACACACACACATTAAAACACACAAAGAAGAACAACATCGTCAGTGTATCCCACAAGTTGAGTAGTGTCCAGTTGCATGATGATGAACTTAAAATGTTACACAAAACCAAATGTGCTTCACCGTCTGAGATACGTTGATTGAAACTGAATCAACTACAAAGAGCCTAATTAGACTTATAAGGATATTTTATTTGCTTTATTGATCACCAGAGAGTCATTTGGGTGTTGCACAGCACAAAGACAGAAATAAGGAAGGAGGAGAAGAAGAAGGAGGAGGAGAAACAACCTACCGATGAGCAGGAAGACGAGGATGGCGATGGCCACCATGAAGGAGGTGTTTCCATAGAGAGCGATGGTCTGGATGATCCGAGACTTAAAGATCTTGCTCCACCTGCAGGAGCAAACACTCACATTATAACACCAGGGTCTATGCAGGAATCACATGTAAGACATTTTAAGACCCTTTCCATACATTTTAAGACCTCATCGCCACTTGGAGTTTTAACCGGTTACCTTGGCGACACACTTCACCTCACATTGACTATATAGAGTATTGATTGTCCTTCCTCCTTATCTTCCAACCATTTGGACGCAGACTTGCATTTCCCCATAACGATGCTGTTTAACAACCGGCGTAAACGGACCTTCACGCTATCAAGCAGTGAGGGTGCGATGTCCTGTTCAGATGACGTCAGATCCAACGGGATGCCATCAATAAACTACACAGAATCTCACTACACACCTACGCAATGATTACATTCAGGCAGACTGTGGAATACAACCTCTTTGGACAATTTATATACTTTTTGAAAACAAGCTACAAAATGTAATACCTTGGAAAATGCCCTTTAATACTTTTTAATAGCCTTCATTTTCGCTAAATTCATTTATCAACTTTTAATACTTTTTAAGACCCCGCGGACACCCTGGACACAGAGTAGAGTCGATATACACAGTAATAGATGGAATACAGTCAGACAGCTGAGGCTAGGGCTCCATCTAGTGGAAACAACACATCTGAGGGAAATGTCCTTATAACCAGATATTAAAAAAGTGGTAGAAATGTTATCTTGAAGGGAAACAGCACTTGTGATTAGAAGGGAAAGTTACGCATGGAAAAATATTAGTGTTAAAAAGTGACAGACAAAAGGGAGGATTTAAATAGTTTCTCTCAGAGTTCATACACTTTTACACCAATGATTTTCAATGACTTCTCCAGGACCTTTACCTAATTTTCCATGACCAAAAACATAACTCTCTCAGCATTCCACTGAAAATGGTTTATTTTAACATGGAACAGGAAAATAAGGTCTGCATCTGAAACATGTTGTGCCTATCTAAAACAAATTCAATAGGCTTACTAGCTTCCACTCGCTAAAGCAACTCAAATCTCTCACCAGCAAAACACCTCGTCAGTTAAATTCCATTTTACGTTTCCTTACTATACAGTATTTATTATCGTTATAGTATTACTATTTCGGCGATTAGATAAAATATAAATTATATTTGATGCAAATTTAGTTAAATTTCCAAAACTTTGGGAAAAATATTGTTTTCCAAAACTTTTCCAGGGCCTGGAATTAGCATTTTGAATTTCCATGACTTTTCCAGGTTTTTAATGACCGTAATAACCCTGAACTATTTAAATATGCAATACAAAAATATGATTTATGTTGTATTTGTACATCTTTACTACAATTACAGTATAAAAAAATCATTATTGATAATTAAAAAAAAGACAGAAATGTGATCTTGAAGGGAAACGGCACTTGTGATTATTCAGGAAAGGCTGTTAAAAAGTGAAAGACAAAAGTGGGGAATTATTTGATTTTAGATGCCAAAAATGTACAACTCTTTACATTTGGAATAACCCAATTTGATGTATTTGTACATCTTCACCATACTTTCTGCAAGTTCAGTATCAAAAAACAATAAAAATAGGACATCAAAACCAACGAAATGTAGAAATCCCAAACCTATCGATTCCCTATTTTAGTATTTAAAAAAGGACCAAACCTTCAATGTGTTTTTGTGAGATGTAAAATACTAACATTCCCCTTCTTATTTCAGGTTGGTCGCTTTTTATATTTTCACAATTCTATAAAACAAACCTTTTTTCTACTTAGTTTTTGAGCTTTATCTGGGAGTCGCAGTTGAGATAAGATTTGAAATAGTGGCTCCTTATTTGTTCTAGGAGTCCCTTTTATCAAATCAAAAATTCCTTATATTGCGTTTGTCTACTTTTGAATGGAACCACTCATTCTCCAGCAGCTTCTAATGAATCGTCAGACTTTGTACAATCACTGAAAGGCTGAGTCATGGGGTGTTTCTCAATGTCGAGGACGCTTGCTTGGTAGGACATGTCTTCCGAGTCACTTGCTTCAGAAGCGAGGCAAGAATCCTTCCTAGCCTCGGAAAACGAAGAATTGTGGAATAGGCCAACAGGTGTGCGTCATATGCGAGGCCCCGCCTTAAATGGAGCACTATTTCCACCAAATATTAGGAAATTGGTCCGTGCGCAAAGCATTGTGGGGATTTTAAGACCGGAGGATACACATGTGCAGCCTCGAAATTTCTGGCTACGAAGTACGCCGGCCTCGGTAGAATTCCAAGTATGCTGGACATTGGAACAGTCCTTCGGCGGCACTCGATGACATAGTATGCTTGAAATAGTGGCTCTGGAGCAGCCTTCCTCGACATTGAGAAACACCCATGGATGTCTCTTATATATTTACTTTCAATCCGGAACATCCCTCAAGAGTTTCTGGGGATTTTTTGGTGATAAAAACCTGCTGACATCAGCTCTGGGATCAGAGAAGTGTCTGTTCTGAGAGTTAATCAGAGGTCGGTTTTAATCTGCTTCACACAGAGCGGCTCCGTTTCAGATAACTGTTTGAAATCAATCCAACTGGAACTGTTTGACTCTCAGCGAACGCTCAAACACCACATTCACAAACTGTGTGAAAGCTGAAAATGTCTAGCAGAGCGTCGTAGTTTAGGAACGATTTAGGAAGCTTATGATGACAAGAAAAGGAGAGACACTTAAGTCTGAGTGGAGGTGCGGTTGAGGCGGTTGCTAGGTGACAGGGCGATATAAAACAACAATAAGAAATAATTAAATGCACTCGTAATGATAGTGGAATAAAATAAATAGTGACAGATGTGCCAAGAGGAGATTTCTCTTAGACTTCAAATCAAACTGCAGCCGAGGCCCCAGGTAGAACATCCTACACAGAATCAAATCTATTGTCCAGGAAACTATTTCATTTTGGCATTTATTTTCCTTATGTTTAAATGTTGAAGCCGACAAAGAATAAGGGCAGACTTTAACAATGGTCATCCCTTTCCCTCATAAATAAACATATGCCTTTCCGGTGCCAATATCTCCTCCACCTGTCTCTAATACCAAATCACCCAGAGCCTCAAGATGCCTTCAAAATAAAAAGCATTACCAACTCAAATGTACTCAAAACTGTGCTGCTAGGGTACTCACACATACAAAGCCGTGGCAGCACATCACCCCCACCCTCATCCACCTCCACTGGCTGCCGGTCAAGCCCCGCATAACCTACAAAGTCCTCCTCCTCACCTATAAGTCCCTCCATGCCCTTTCCCCCCAGTACCTATCGGACATCCTTCAACCCACATGCCCCACACCAACCTGCGAACCTTCAGGGACAGAGCCTTGTGTGGCAGCCCCCACCCTCTGGAATGCCTTCAAAAGGGCTCTCAAGTCCCATCTGTTTGCCAAGGTCTTTGGCCCCGAATGGATTTGTTGTTGGTGAATGAGACAGTGGGTGTTTCTCAATGTCGAGGAAGGCTGCTCCAGAGCCACTAGGATGCTACGTCATCGATTGCCGCTGAAAGACTGTTCCAATGTCTAGGATCCTCGGAATTCTACCGAGGCCGGCGTCCTTCGTTGCGGGAAATTTTGAGGCTGCACATGTGTATCCTCCGCGGTCTTAAAATCCCCACAATGCTTTGCACACAGACCAATTTCCAAAATCTTTGGCAGAAATCGCGCTCCATTTAAGGCGGGGCCTCACATATGACGCACACCTGCTAGCCTGTTCCGAGGCTAGGAAGGATTCTTGCATCGCTTCTGAAGGACCTGACTCGGAGGAACCAAGGAAGCGTCCTCGACATTGAGAAACACCTCCTTTGTCTGACTGCCTTTTGTTATGTTTGTTTTTGCTCCTGTTCTTCTCTGTAAAGCGACCTTGGGTCTCATGAAAGGCGCTATATAAATCCAAGCTATAATTATAATTATAATGATCAAATGACTCAACAAAACAGAAAGAAAATAAATGTTTACTTATTAAATATTACCCAACAATGACCAGCTCCAGCAATATGCTTAACTATATCATTTAGTATCTATATAATAAAAGGAGTAGTGTGTTAATATTATTTCAGAGACGATCTGTTGAGTCAGAAGCCATACCTGCTTACACACTATTTGCGCTGTAGCCTAATCACATGCTTTTACCGTCAGGGTTTATAGATTTTCTATCTTCACGGTCTACTGTATATTTTTAATGCTGTTTTAAATTCTATTTTGAGATGTTTAAAATCCTAGTATTGTTTATTTCTACTCTTTCATTTCTACATATGTGCAATGCCTTGTTTTGTTGTTTTTTATGCTGCTGCAACGCAAACATTTGGGGTCAATAAAGTACCTTTTATCTTATGCCAACAGTTGTTATATTCATTTGCATGTTGATTTCCCAATGCTGGCACTTTTAGTACTTTGATTCCAGTTGATCTTATCACACCCACAATAACTCAATCTCCCTGCAAGATCTAATCTGTAGTGTTTCATTAACTCAGCGTAATAAAGCTTTTGGAGATGATCTCTTAAACCCCGTTGTCTTTTGCCATTTTCTCCTCTGCTTTTTTCAACTCATAAGACTGTCCAAAGTCTTCACTACTCCTAACATTTATTCACCTTAGGAGCTCACTTCAAGGTCTGAAATGTCGGTTATAAAACATTTTTCTTAATCAGGATCTAGTCCTAAATGTAAAGGGACATTCTTAAACTTCATAATTCTAAGATCTTTTTATTGTTATTTTGTCCCTAGGAGCCATTCTTTGTGCTAGAAAGCTTTATGAGTAAAGCCTCTGATTCAAGCCCTGTTATTACTACTGAAACGTCAATAAACTATACTGAAATCAACCTGATAGACGTCACACTCAAAAGACTTAAAACCAGTTAAGCCCCATGCCCTCGGTTGCAACATCTTGCAAGAAACAGCATCCGAGGGCTTCTTAACATTTAACAAACTATGAATGTGTCATACCCACTTAAGAGAAAAAAGATTACTTTACCCCTTTTAGAAGTGAAGCTATGGTAATTTGTTCTGGGAATGTCATTTTCGAGCCTGAGAGCTGAAAAACAGGCTCAGGGCTTAAGTAAAGCGTTAGAAAACAAACATCGGTGTTTTGGGAGACAATTGCTTGGTTTGTACGAGTCATGCATCATGCTCTCTCTTTTAGAATGAATAAATACAAAATACAGTAAAGTTATAGTCAAATGAATGAACATTGCACCACGACATTCAACAAATAACATCGATTCATTTGGATATATTGCTAACAGTGTAAAGGTAGGTAAACAACGTGTAGCCTGTCATGTCGGAGAGCAAATTCACAGCATTCTTTTCTACCAAAACGTCTGAAAGAAATTGCCGGATACAGATTCATTCTGACAATAAATACAAAAGACAGGTGAGTAGTTGGACAGGTGAGTAGAGAACTAGTGCGGAAATGGACAGGTGTGGAAATGGACTAGTGTGGAAATGGACAGGTGTGGAAATGGACAGGTGAGTAGAGGAACTAGTGTGGAAATGGACAACAGGTGTGTGAATGGACAGGTGAGTAAATGGACAGGTGAGTAAATGGACAGGTGGGCAGAGGAACTAGTGTGTAAATGGACAGGTGTGTGAATGGACTAGTGTGGAAATGGACAGGTGTGGAAATGGACAGGTGAGTAGAGGAACTAGTGTGGAAATGGACAACAGGTGTGTGAATGGACAGGTGAGTAAATGGACAGGTGAGTAAATGGACAGGTGAGTAAATGGACAGGTGAGTAAATGGACAGGTGAGTAAATGGACAAGTGGGCAGAGGAACCAGTGCGTAAATGGACAGGTGAGTAAATGGACAGGTGAGTAAATGGACAGGTGGGCAGAGGAACCAGTGTGTAAATGGACAGGTGCGTAAATGGACAGGTGGGCAGAGGAACCAGTGTGTAAATGGACAGGTGCGTAAATGGACAGGTGAGTAAATGGACAGGTGGGCAGAGGAACCAGTGTGTAAATGGACAGGTGTGTAAATGGACAAGTGGGCAGAGGAACCAGTGCGTAAATGGACAGGTGAGTAAATGGACAGGTGGGCAGAGGAACCAGTGTGTAAATGGACAGGTGCGTAAATGGACAGGTGAGTAAATGGACAGGTGGGCAGAGGAACCAGTGTGTAAATGGACAGGTGTGTAAATGGACAAGTGGGCAGAGGAACCAGTGTGTAAATGGACAGGTGAGTAAATGGACAGGTGTGTAAATGGACAGGTGAGCACCAACCTCTTGGGTGAGATGAAGGGGATGCAGAGCAGCAAAACGAAGAAGACTTCACCGTAGAGGAAGGTGGCGACGGCCGTCCACTGCAGACTCATCCTGACAACAAAACACAAACCTGGCATTAATGTTTACACTTTTCAAAATAAAACCACATGTGCAAAAGTACAAGGCCCGAAGCCGTCAGTCCACAGTGACGAAGTTACCTTCGTCACATCTTAAAATAGCAGCAGAATTAAACAGTGAATTTTATTCAGCTCCAATAAAGAAAAACTGTTTGACTTTTCATTACTCTTATTCTCATTTGTTTTGGGTGCAACGATACATGGCTACAGTTTTATTGAGCACGAGATGTCTTTATAAAAGTGTGAAAATAAATTAGATTCAAGCATTAAAACATTTTAAAAAGGTGGAATAAAGTACACAAATAATAAAATTAAAAAACAATAAATAGCAAATAGAAACATATCTAAAGTAGCAAATACATATATGACAAATAACACAAAATAAAATATTCTGGATATATTCAAATGTTATATAAAAAGACCAGCAACAGAAATATTGACTTCTACTACAGGAGATGATTACGCCTGCCTTATCATTTTATTTTGTAGTTTGAATGTTCACAAATATCTGCAGCTTCAGAAATGTGTCTGTAAGGTTTGAAAACAAACGCTGAGCTGTAACAACACGCAGGATATACTACAACTTAAAGGTCACCTATCATGCTATTTCCAGGCATATATTATGGGTCTCAGATAAATATATAAAACATGTCTATGAAGTGTTTTGCTCAAAATACAAACAGATCATGCATTTTAGACATCGCTCTATTTCAGCCCTGTTAGAGAAACATTGATTTTGGGTCCTTAGGTTGAAAAAAAAAGAAGGAGGCGGAGCTAATGTCTGCTCAGAATTCTACCGGAGATTAAGTTAAATTCTGCTGTGATAAAACGCCATCCTGTTCTAAACCACATCAAGGATTATCTCTGAAACAGTATGGAGCTCAAATGCTTTTTCTCTTGCGGGTTTATCACAAGATGAGTTCCTTTTTTTATTTCCTGCTTTTTAAACATGTGCTCTCCAGTACAGGTTAGCTCTGAGTGTTAGCGAGGCTTGCTAATGTAAACAAAGACGAGATTACGTCCAAAACACGTCAGGCATTGTTTCTGATAGCAACTCTCTGTGGGTCCGCCGCCGATTTGACTTCATATCGGCAGCAAATCTGGATCAGCTCGTTGTACCTCCGTTTTTAGAGATTTGGGTACGGAGGAAAAGAGAGGGTTTTATCTTGTGACGCTGCGCGAGTTCCCTGACACACATATTTATGTGTAAAATACATCACAAAGTGCATTTTGCATGATAGGTCACCTTTAACATCGAGAGAAGCTGAGAGGATAATTAGAGGCCGGGTGTGATGAGTTTATTTTTGGACGTGTCAGAGAGCAACAGTTTGTAAACTTGATTTTGTAAATGGGTAATAGTATTAGAACAAATTAGGGCTGCTCGATTATGGCAAGAAATCAGATTATTTTGGTCAATAATTGATATCATGATTATAAAAAACGATTATCCATTTACTTTGAAAACAATCATTAAAAAAGAAAAAAATGGATTACCCTGAACTTTAAGTATAATTCAACTGAAGAAAAAAAACTTTTACTTTTTAAAAAAATGTAATTAAAATAATAGTTTTATTTTGATTACGTTGTTTTCGTAATCGTTGCAAGCCAAAATCGTAATCGAGATTAAAATACGATTAATTGCACAGCCCTAGAACAAAGATGCACCAACTTGAGCTGAAACTAAAGTTAACCTCTGGTTCAGTTTCATCATCCAGGTCAAGAGCTCATCAAATCAAGGTAAGATCAACTTTATTGATTACAAATTGGGATTTTTGTTTTGCGACAGCAGCATAAAAAAACTAAACAAGGCATTGCACATAATTAGAAATTAAAAAGATTATAAATAATTAACAAAAATATAAATAAAACAGAACTAAAGAGTAGAAAATATACAAGTTTACCGTGATGGCATATTACATTATATTGAGATTTACTTCAAATGCATTTTTAGAGAATTCACTTGATCCTTTTTACATAACAGTTCATGCATTTTGCAACCGTACACCACAAATAATTAATATTTTTATTTTGTATACCCCATAAATTACAGCATTCATTTACCCATTAGATTCTCATTTTTAAAATACATCTTTAATGAACATATTTGGAATCTTCCCTGAGATCTAAGACCAGGGTAAATGCAGGAATCCTGAAGTCAAATGTAATTCCTTTTAAGACCCTTTCCATACATTTTAAGACCTCATCTCCACTTTGAGTTTTTAACCGGTTACCTTGGCGACACACTTCACCTCACATTGACTATACACAGTATTGATTGTCCTTCCTCCTTATCTTCCAACAATTTGGACGCACACTTGAATTTCCCCATAACGATGTTGTTTAGCAACCGGCATAAACGGACCTTCGCGCGCTATCAAGCAGTGAGCGCGCGATGTCCTGTTCAGATGACGTCAAACCCAACGGGATGCCATCAATAAACTACACAGAATCACACTACACACCTACGCAATGATTACATTCAGGCACACTGTAGAACACAACCTCTTTGGACCATTTATATACTTATTGAAAACACGCTCCAAAATGTAAAACCTTGGGAAATGCCCTTTAATACTTTTTAATAGCCTTCATTTTCACTAAATTGATTTATCAACTTTTAATAAGACCCTGCGGACACCCTGGATATGTTATTAGCAAACGACTGCCTCTGTACATCTGTTTACTTGTATCAGTATATTATACAAGATGCCAAAGTAAATCAAACGTAATGTATGCGTAGTCCCTCGTTACTGCTAGGTAACAAAAACAGAAACATTACAAGTCAAAATATTTAAGTTGGTAAATACATTCAAAAGATAAAATACATGGTATTACATGTATACATGGTATTATCAAGTTAAAGAGATCACAGTTCTGATTCTTGAGCCACTGTAATCCAAATTGCAAAATATGTAGGGCACTCATATTGCTAAAAGCCTATAAACAACATATAATTGAATTAAACTAACTAAAGCCAGGGTGGAGGATCAGCTGACCAGTGGGGTGGGTGTGGCAGCAGCTGTGTCATGCAACACTGCAACACACTGCCAACATCTCAGTGAAGAAACACACTGAACTTTGGCTTATTTTTGGACATTAAAACACACATTAAGACACAAGCAGCATAATCAATGTCCATACACTAGTTTCTCATAGTTTTCTTTCTCTGTGGAACATAAAAACGTATATTTTTCTATTTAGAGGGACAGATTGAGTCCTTAAAGGTGATTTCAATAAGGATACACGACACACCTGGCAGGCTACATGTAAAACCTGTTTATTCTCTATTAACAGCTAAGATAGTGTTTAGATCTCGTCTATTGTTAAAACATATTGAACTACATCAACTGCACACCGCGTGAATATCGTTTAGGGTACATATATTAGCTTGAGTGAAACAGATTTAAGTATATCAAGTTAAAACAGACAGATTATAATAACGTGTATTTGTTGGATTTTGACAGGAAACCCAAGTTGTTTTTAAAAATGTGAATTAGTTGAGCTAATAGCGGAATGTCTTCGTGTATTTCCTGGAAATTAGCCACTTAGCTTGTAGGCCCCGTCTAGTTCCTGCTTTGTATTCAGTCAGATATTCATGTGTAATGTAATAAATCGTGTCTCCATGTCTGGGGTTTTCTCTGGAATGTGTGATGTTGAAATATCTGCTAACAACTTGATTGACTAAGTTAACAAACTTGGCGTTAAGTTAGCAAGCTAAACTAGTCAGCAGATGTTAGCTATCACAGGCTTTGCTAAGATAGCACCAGGTGAACTTACCTGAGACTGAGACTATTCCCGCAGACACAGAGAAACTCAGGAAACACGGCGCTCTTCTGACGAGCTTCAAACTCTCTACTAACTGGAGTTAGCTTGTTAGCTTAGCTTCCTGTTGTAAACACGTCCTGCTTCCGGGTTTTAATGCCAGCTCATCCAGATCCCGGCATTTGATTGGATAAATCGATGCAAGTGGGAGGAGTCAATATGTCACTTCCGAGTTTTTACATTTCATATTATTATTTTGTTGTACTTTTTGTACTTTTTCGTAAACATAGCAATTTTGAATTACACACCGGCAAAATACAGTTGTGTGAATGTTGTCAATGTATTACACTAATCCCCCCCCCCCCCGTAAAAAACATTCAAAAATAATAAACAAACAAAGAATTGAAATATCACATTAAAAAACAATAAAAAACAATAAATAATAGTCATAATGGAAATATATAAGTAATAACAGTTCAGATATCATTATCGACAATCGATTAACTATATAAGATATGTTCAGTATATATTAAGACTATTAAACGTAAATGTATTACATTTTAGTTTTTTTATCATTTAATTGTATTAAGTTGATTTGAAAAAATTATCATTATTATTTCTATTCATTTGTTTGAATTTATTGTATCCTTTTATTCTCGGTGTCTGTTTTACAAACTGATCAAGGACACCATCAAGAGGTAACAACAAGAGTGTAAAACTTGAGAGTTTCTGTTTAAAATTGATTTTGTTTTTGTTTGTTTGTTTTGTTGCAAATATATAATAACGTAACATGTATAGCATTAGATCAATACAAAATACTTACATATACAGTGAAAATAGGTGTTTTTAATTTGATTACATCTCATATATTTCTGACAGATTAGTATGATTGTTTTCGAATCTTAGTTTTTATATTTATTTTGATGTAAATACCCCTTATTTAGTTATTTTCCCTTTTTACCCGCAAGGTTTATATTGTATTATATCATGTATTATGTCACCTCTTCTGACCGACAGGGGGAGACATTGTCTGCAGGAAAGAAACGATCTCCGTGGTTCAGATAAGGAAGAGGAAGAGAAGAAAAAATCGGCATCTCACTCTGATTGTTTTCCCACTAACTATAACAGCTCTCTATTTCTGCAGACACTGCTCTCCAATTACTGGTCAGACTGTTTCCACAGTAAATTATTAAGTATGTAGAGACAACTTTGAAGATACAGGCTATAGTTATTTATAGATCCCTGAGGGGAGATTTGTTTCTTTTATAATATCAGTAGCTGTTTTGCATACAGAGAACAACACATTGCATTAAAGAGTCCTCTCCTGCTGATGTTCAGGTGTATATCAGTATGTAGTGTCTCTACTTTAAAGAGTCCTCTCCTGCTGATGTTCAGGTGTATATCAGTATGTAGTGTCTCTACTTTAAAGAATCCTCTCCCGCTGATGTTCAGGTGTATATCAGTATGTAGTGTCTCTACTTTAAAGAGTCCTCTCCTGCTGATGTTCAGGTGTATATCAGTATGTAGTGTCTCTACTTTAAAGAGTCCTCTCCTGCTGATGTTCAGGTGTATATCAGTATGTAGTGTCTCTACTTTAAAGAGTCCTCTCCTGCTGATGTTCAGGTGTATATCAGTATGTAGAGTCTCTACTTTAAAGAGTCCTCTCCTGCTGATGTTCAGGTGTATATCAGTATGTAGTGTCTCTACTTTAAAGAGTCCTCTCCTGCTGATGTTCAGGTGTATATCAGTATTTAGTGTCTCTACTTTAAAGAGTCCTCTCCTGCTGATGTCCAGGTGTATATCAGTATGTAGTGTCTCTACCAGTGGCGAGCCGTCAGGGCCCTCTAGGCCTAAGATATTCTAAAAAATAATATTTGAAAACATTAAAAAAAAAAAAAAAAATGTAATATTATTTTTTATATTTTTTTGTTATATTTTTCATTAGTTTTACCAAAATAACTTGATTTAATTTTATTTAAAATAATATTTCCAAAGAAATAAATCCTTCGAATCTGCCTGTTCAGTTTCTGTTAGAATGTGAAGGGTTAAATGCCGTCTGTGCGAGTTATGTGAAGACCGGAGAGCTTGTTGGTCCCTCTCTACATTCACAGAGGGCCCAGCTATAGTAACTCAACGAGAGAGTAATGTCAAATGACAGAACAATTGACCAATCATATCTTCCCTCTAAATGGGCGGGCTTTATTTTCGCGGACTTTATGACAAGTTCCGCCCGCTGTGAAGGTCTATGCAAGTGGTGCAGTGACGCGTCCTAAAGCCCGGAAGTAAGCTTCGCTCGGGTTCCCTCGACAGAAATCAATGGGATTTCTCCATAGGATTTTGGAAAATAGCTGGAAATAAGGTCTGTGGAAAACGAACCTGTTAGATAAATGCACGTTTTGTTCAGCCGGATAATATCCACATGTCTACCCTACTTTTATTATTTTCGAATCATAAATCTAATCGATAGATTTATGATCGATAGATTTATGATCGATAGATTTATAATTAGCATAAGTTCGTTCATGATGGCTCACTTCAGTGATAGTGATGACATCGTTGCGAAATTATTAACCGAGTCATTTTCAAGATTGAGTTACAATAATAAACTGGAGTGGCAAAGGATCAGCTGAATGACCCGCCATCAAGTGCTTCATCCAAATGGACAGGAGGATGGACTTTGTGTTTGAGTGATTTGATCATCAAAGGTAGGCCTAAGTCATTTTCAATGTGGGCCGCAGTGCCGAGTTTATTAATTTGTAATTGTTACTTGGCTGTGGGTGCCCTGTCATGATATGTGTTTATATAAATTGTGTTGTTTTGTGTGGTAGAAGGTCGCTGTCATTGATGCGTTTTGCACCCCGGGCCGCTGTTTTAATATTCCGCTGAAGTATACGCTGTGATGTAATATCTCTTCTTTTCTTTTCGAGGTAAGGGGGGTCAGAAGGCCTAGGTATAAAAGTCACGGCTCGCCACTGTTCTCTACTTTAAAGAGTCCTCTCCTGCTGATGTTCAGGTGTATATCACTATGTAGTGTCTCTACTTTAAAGAGTCCTCTCCTGCTGATGTTCAGGTGTATATCAGTATTTAGTGTCTCTACTTTAAAGAGTCCTCTCCTGCTGATGTTCAGGTGTATATCACTATGTAGTGTCTCTACTTTAAAGAGTCCTCTCCTGCTGATGTTCAGGTGTATATCAGTATGTAGTGTCTCTACTTTAAAGAGTCCTCTCCTGCTGATGTTCAGGTGTATATCAGTATGTAGTGTCTCTACTTTAAAGAGTCCTCTCCTGCTGATGTTCAGGTGTATATCAGTATTTAGTGTCTCTACTTTAAAGAGTCCTCTCCTGCTGATGTTCAGGTGTATATCACTATGTAGTGTCTCTACTTTAAAGAGTCCTCTCCTGCTGATGTTCAGGTGTATATCAGTATGTAGTGTCTCTACTTTAAAGAGTCCTCTCCTGCTGATGTTCAGGTGTATATCAGTATGTAGTGTCTCTACTTTAAAGAGTCCTCTCCTGCTGATGTTCAGGTGTATATCAGTATTTAGTGTCTCTACTTTAAAGAGTCCTCTCCTGCTGATGTTCAGGTGTATATCACTATGTAGTGTCTCTACTTTAAAGAGTCCTCTCCTGCAGATGTTCAGGTGTATATCAGTATGTAGTGTCTCTTCTTTAAAGAGTCCTCTCCTGCTGATGTTCAGGTGTATATCATTATGTAGTGTCTCTACTTTAAAGAGTCCTCTCCTGCTGATGTTCAGGTGTATATCAGTATGTAGTGTCTCTACTTTAAAGAGTCCTCTCCTGCTGATGTTCAGGTGTATATCAGTATGTAGTGTCTCTACTTTAAAGAGTCCTCTCCTGCTGATGTTCAGGTGTATATCAGTATTTAGTGTCTCTACTTTAAAGAGTCCTCTCCTGCTGATGTTCAGGTGTATATCACTATGTAGTGTCTCTACTTTAAAGAGTCCTCTCCTGCAGATGTTCAGGTGTATATCAGTATGTAGTGTCTCTACTTTAAAGAGTCCTCTCCTGCTGATGTTCAGGTGTATATCAGTATGTAGTGTCTCTACTTTAAAGAGTCCTCTCCTGCTGATGTTCAGGTGTATATCAGTATGTAGTGTCTCTACTTTAAAGAGTCCTCTCCTGCTGATGTTCAGGTGTATATCAGTATGTAGTGTCTCTACTTTAAAGAGTCCTCTCCTGCTGATGTTCAGGTGTATATCAGTATGTAGTGTCTCTACTTGAAAGAGTAATCTCCTGCTGATGTTCAGGTTTATATCAGTATGTAGTGTCTCTACTTTAAAGAGTCCTCTCCTGCTGATGTTCAGGTGCATATCAGTATGTAGTGTCTCTACTTTAAAGAGTCCTCTCCTGCTGATGTTCAGGTGTATATCAGTATGTAGTGTCTCTACTTTAAAGAGTCCTCTCCTGCTGATGTTCAGGTGTATATCAGTATGTAGTGTCTCTACTTTAAAGAGTCCTCTCCTGCTGATGTTCAGGTGTATATCAGTATGTACAACATCAGGAAGATACGTCCCCAGCTGACACAGAAAGCGACGCAGGTTCTGGTCCAGGCTCTCGTCATCTCACGCCTAGACTACTGCAACTCCCTCCTGGCTGTTCTACCTGCATGTGCCATCCGACCTCTGCAGCTCATCCAGAATGCAGCGGCTCGTCTGGTCTTCAACCTTCCTAAATGTTCCCACACCACTCCGCTCCTCCGCTCCCTTCACTGGCTTCCGGTAACTGCTAGAATCCACTTCAAGACACTGGTACTTGCTTACCATGCTGCGAATGGATCTGGCCCTTTCTACATCCAGGACATGGTTAAACCGTACACCCCAGCGCGTGCACTACGCTCTGCATCAGCCAAACGACTCGTTGCGCCCTCGCTGCGAGGGGGACCCAAGTTCCCATCGGCGAAAACACGTGGGTTTGCTGTCCTGGCTCCAGGATGGTGGAATGAGCTCCCCATTGACATCAGGACGGCAGATAGCTTGCACATCTTCCGGCGCAGACTGAAAACTCATCTCTTTCGACTCCACTTCGAGCGTTAGAACTATTAACGAAGCACTTTTATACTAATAAAGGACTGGCTTATCTAAAGCCAGTTGAGTAGCACTTGAAATGTTTGGCTCATATGAAACCTGATGTACTTATATGATTCTGTTTTCTTCAAGGTTGT